GGATGGATGGATGGATGGATGGATGGATGGATGGATGGATGGATGGATGGATGGATGGCATTTTTTAATGGTTACCACAAATATTTGATTTCATAGAGGAGGTGATATTTAAGTCTTTTACTGGATTTGGCCATTATAGGTGGTTTTTCATTGTTTTTTACTTGTGTTTAAATCCTCTTTTTCTAGTTTATACAGTGCGAGATCAAACTGTATATGTAAAAATGGGGTTAGAGAAGCGGCACGTTATCCCTGAACACTCACAATAGACTTTAGTCCCTTGTGAAAAACAGCATAATACACCAACATATCCAATGCTCTATAAACCACTTGTACAGTTATGTGCAGTCAAACAAGATGGCGCCGACTGCTGTGGCTCGCCTTGTGGTACTCTGCCTTTTTATACTTTGTATTTATACTTCTTTGTTATATGCACGGGTCATTTCAGTGCACACACAGTCGCTGTAACTTTTCTATAAAGGTAAAACTTAGTTTTTTTCCATAGCATCAGGTAAATGTAGCAGAATCGGAGCTGTCGCGCTGCACGTGTCTCATTCCATCTCACAGAAAACTTTCTGTCTCCGTCGCTAAAAAGAAGCAACAGCCACAGTATCACGGCTGCTTAGAGGATTACTCCTGAATACATTAAAGTTAAATACCTAGCATTCCACACAGGCTGATGTGTATAACCACCTGTGTGGCAAACACTTAAGCATACATTTAAAGTCAAGTTCCTAAGAAAGGACAAACAATGTTGAGAAAATAGAAAGAGTTTACGCAGCAGAACTCAGATCATGTGTGCGTCCATATTTCCACAGTATCTTCTTCAGAGCCACAGAACTTGACGGCACAGAGATTTTGTTTAGGACTCACTGCTGTTTGATGTAGAGAACAGAAATGAATGTGGCATTAGGTGAATAAATCACAGTATTATGCTTTCTCTTGACTTGACTTCTTGATAAAACTGCTCACTTTTTGCCGGTGGATGTTCTGTTTGTACAGCTGGAACTCTGATTCAGTCTGTGGAGTCTGACATTAACTCTGCAGGCTCTCTGGCTTTTTGCTCCTGCTCTTAAGAAATGTACATATCATTCTTTTGTGAAAATATACTGCAGATTTTCACATTTGTATGTTTTGCATAACTGTTAAGAGACAGACTGAAGGAACTTCATTTAAAATTAGCTTTTCAGAGCTATAAAAGCACTTATTTGCTTCTTTATTGCATACATAAAGTTTTTTGTGGGAGGCACTTCTTATTTTGTTTAATTATTAAGCAGCTATTTGTTTTATCAAGTTACAAATCATCCATAAGCTAATGTCAGAATAAGGTATTGGTGTTTTCCAGCGCTTTGTAACCCGCCCTGTGGAGTGAGGAGTGTATGGGACATGAAACAAAAACAAACAAAGAGCTCATCAGGTGTAATTTTCTCTCTAAAGCTGGAGCCTGGGAAACCGTTCTGCCAAGCTGCTTTTCAGACACAACTCCGGGTGGCTGACAGCAGAAAACCCAGGTAAACGTCAATTAAGACGTTACAGTAGATGACAGGCCTAAGGAAAACAGAGCTGAGGGGTGCCATCTGGGGCGGCCTGTGTAAACTGAAGGTGTCTCAACACGACGCGTCAGATAACGCTAAAATGTTAGCAGCTTTGGACTTGTCGAGTTAACGTGAAGAGGCATGAGAAGAACTTTCCAAAGCCGGTGTGCCTGAAGGACTTTTATTTCAAATGTTTTTGCACCACTCACAGTTTTGCTTCTATGAAAAATGCAATGATCCTAGCTTGATTGGGTAATATGCATTTGAAATGTGCATAAAGTAAAAAAAAAAACATGACTTACAGATTCTTTGTGTAGCTGTGGAAGGGGAGTCGGCCTTGATGCTTCTTCAGCAAAGGTGATTTTAATTAAATGAACAAAAGGCCCAGGGATACTTGCAACGGTTCTGTTTTTTTTCCCTCACATAGCTAAAACACACTTTTTAACCAACACAGTGTGTGTTTACCGTATCACATAAACTCATGAGATTCCAGTTATGGATAATTCTTCCTTGAAGCTGCACCGCTGATCTGTTCGGCATGCTCGGTGTGCAGAAATTGATTTAGAGAGAAAACATCTCAGATGTGTGTGTGTGTTTTGTTTTCATCCTTATTTAATAGAACTTCAGAGAGCAGGAAGTGTGTGCGTCACCAAATCCGCCCTGGTTATCTGCTTTCACACGCTCTAGCCTGCCGCCTGTCCTCAGACTGCACCAAGCTTCCACAGCAAGAGGCCCTGATAGACGTGGTCGTACGGATGGCACTTATGTGGTTGACAAACGTGCAGCAAACACATCAGCATGCAGGTCTAAGCTCCACAAGCATACTCTACATCTTGAATAAAATGCTTTAGATCAAATCCTGAGAAAACAGCAGATGTGTGTTTGCGGCAAACAGCTATAAAAGTTACACAAAATCAAAGTAACGCATTTATTTAGTATAGTTTTTTTATTTATTCGCTTTCCAAAGAGTTTATCTTTGATGGATTGTAATGAATGTTGGGGATACGTTCTCTTCAGGCATTAGGTGAGGGTGAGAATGTGTGAGGTCACACCATGTGACCTTTAGCTGAAGCTTCTGGGCCACTATTGGTTCAGAGCCAAACCCTTAACTGGCCACCTCCCCCATGAGAGCAGGCCTCTCTACTGCTGGATGTAGGGGCAAAGTGTTGAGGTGCTGGCACTGCCTCACATCTGATCTGTCTCACCGCAAACGGCACACATTCATGAGTAAATCTGCTCTAATCTCACCTCCAGACAAACCTGGCTTCACCAAGATGAACTTTGCTGTTGGTGATATAATTTTTCGGCGAGTTCATTGTCCTCTTCAAATAATCAACTATTGATCAGAAGCACCTTGCATGTTTGAAAACATCCAGAATCTTAACCCAAATCTGTGAAACTCCCACATTCCTCACATCACAGCTTGGCTTTGAACTCTGGGTTCACCAAAAAGAGTTTAATTGGTAAAAAGAAAATCTAGTTTAAAAACATCAAACTCCTTATAGGACAAAAATGCATGTATGTGTTTCAAACCTTAACCAAAAGTAAATGAGTTAATTTAATAGTGAAATGAATGAAAATATTCCCATATTAAACTGTATAGCTCCATATGATGAATGTAATTAAGCCATGCTTCCTGGTACCACTTTACCAACTCAAGTGATGCTTTTTTCCAGCTCACCACTGCATGAGCGGCTGTGTGTGTGTGTGTGTGTGTGTGTGTGTGTGTGTGTGTGTGTGTGTGTGTGTGTGTGTGTGTGTGTGTGTGTGTGTGTGTGTGTGTGTGTGTGTGTGTGTGTATTTTTATTTAACAGGCAGAACAAATTAGAAATCAGGATGTATTAGTGGCGCTAAAACAAGACAGAAGAAGCGTGAGCTGGATTTAAACTGAGAAAGAAAATACATCTTTGTTGGATCATCACATAAATGCTAATGAACTTATGTTTTGCTTTTATTATTTGCTGATCTGGATGAAAAACGTTTTTTTTTCATTAGAAAATGTTTGGTTTTAAGCATTAACTACTGCGTGCGTGCCTACGTAAATGCACACTAGATTTTAGACATATCCTCTTGATTTTAAATGTTTGCTAACATTGCGGCTCGAGGTCTTGCCTCAGCATGCTCCTGTTAAATTCTGGAAACACACATACGATTCCATTTAACACGAATGAGTTTTTACCTTTAAGAAGAGAAAATAAGATTCAGCTGTCCAGATCGGCGCATCGACCCAACTGACCGTCTCCCCTCTCTGAAGCCTCTGCAGGTCACCCACTGCTCTCATGTTGATTGTGTGGATGTGTATTGAGTCTGCAGACGTGTGTATTCACCCGGGCGTATCCCCCTGCCAAATGATTGTTTCTGCGCGTTACCAACTCCATCAAAATGTGACACTTGTGCAGACTCTCAAAAGCAGAGGAGCTGCAGGCCGCGCGCTGCAGCTTTGCGTGTGAAAACGGATGAACGATTCTCTTGTGTTTGTTTTTGGACAGTTTTGTGAAAACATTGGGGTCTCTGTGTGGATTTTTGCTCTACTGTTCATAATTATGCCTCATGAGAGGACCCGGAGCGACACCTGATCCCAAATCGAGGACCACTTCAAGGCTTTTGGATATTCTGGAGATTTTAGTTTTGCAACATAGCAGTTTATTTTTAAATATTTTAAATATCAGAAATAATAAACTTTACATTGGGTATTTTGAAAACTATAAAATACAACCACATTTCACTATTATTATTATTACTATTGTATTTTTTATTCTAAGTAAATTGTTGAAGTGAATTCAGCGGTGTCTCCCTCTGCGTAAAGCCGGTGAAGCTGCACTCATCTCCTGCCTGCGCCTTCGGGCAGCTTCGCTTCCTCATACCTATGTAGCTCTACTTGTTTGTGTAAACTCGCGGATCATAGTTTATTTGGATTTGGCGCGTTTGCGCACATTTACGCATGATCAAAAGCGTTCAATAGCGCTAAAGAAAGCAATTGGAAGGAAATGCAACATCACAAAAGATAAACGTTATTTTCTAAGGAGCGATGCAAGGCGTGAAAGATGTGTGTAGATTTAAATTATAATCCCTGTTTTAAAAAATGCCCCCAAATTAACAAAACTTGTATTTAGAGTTGGGTTTATTGGGACTCAAAGGGTCCACTTTAGAGAACTTCTTCTTTTCTTTTTTTTTTCTAAGTAAACAAAAACTCCTTTAATGGGCTGGCTTCTGCTGCACGGACCACCTCCTTTCTGTTGTTGATTCCCGTGTTATTTCAAGCCCCGCTGACCAGCCGGAGCTCAGACGCATTCAGCCGCTAATCTGATGGAGCATCTCGGTGCCGCATGTGTATTCCAGCGCCCCTTTGTTTCCTCTATAGATTGGAGCACCTCACATAATCGAAAGCCTATAGACACGCTGTCACTGCTCTGCACTCCACTCACAGACTTCCTGCACAAAGATTCAATAAAACTCCTCCAGCAGAAGTTTGTTTTTTGAACATTATATTTACTTCCATTAAATAAAACACAATATTTTTTTGGATGTTGGGAAAAAAGAACAGAATTCCGTACCAAATACCTATACACAGAGAGAGAGAGAAAAAGAAAAAAGTCTCAGAATTGGATGCGTTTTTAATCCAGAATTGCTATTCTAAAATCGATATTCACACAGACATTAATAATAAATTTATAATATGTTAGAAACACACAACTGGTGCGTTTTAGTATGTACATTCCCTTTTTGTTTGCAAGCAAAACAAGATTCATTTTTAGCGTTTATCGTCATCATCATCATCATTATTATTAATATTATTATTATTATCATTATTATTTTCCACATGCGTTGATAAATTGAACCTGAAAAGGACGGGAGGGGTTAGAAGCGCTTCAACAAACAGGAGATGATGATTTAAATATATACACAACCTTTTCAGTCAACAGTTCACGTTCAAAATCCATAAAAACCCCTTTATGACGAACTAACAAGCTTCTTTTTTCTGAATGTGAAACAGGCCGATGCTAAAAGAGGAATACAACAAAATGAGAAAACTCCGAGGAGGAGTGGAGCTTGTCTCTGTGGTGCAGTCTTCTAGTGCCCTTTTAAAAAAGACAAAAGTAGCTGTAGTAGTCTCTTGTTCCTGTGGACGGCTGTTTTCAATTATCACACACTGCAAAAAATAACCACCATAACAAGCCGTTTAACCACCGAAATGTAAATTCCTCTTTGAAATAAACGATGGGTGCACAAAAAAGGATAATCTGACAAATTGTAATTTGGAATATTTGTGGCCTATGTGGAGTTTAGGAGGAAAAATCAGAAATTCTTAAAACGTCTGGGCTCTCCACTTCTGTATTCCTCTCTCCAACCCAGAGGAATAATTAAATAAAATCCCTCAACGCCACTCTTGTAGCCTGTCACATCTCGCCACGGTGGATATTTTTTGCAGTGCAGGTATTAGACCGGTCGGTCCACGGCGTACTGACACGCGCTCAGATTGGTGGCTGGATTCTGCACTCCAGCGTATCCAAAACTCGAGTGCTGCTTGGCTTTCAGTCTCAGGCTGGCCAGGCTGGAGTTGCAAGTGTCTCTGTACACGTAAGGAGGGGTCGGGGGCGCGTAGGGACACGCCGGCGTGGGCACCCCCGAGTTGAGAGAAGGGTTACTGAGGTTGTTCAAGTTATTGAGGCTGTTTAGGCTGGATCCCGGCACGCCCGTGACCGCAGATGGCACCATGCTGGAGGTCATGGAGGAGATGGAGTTGGGCGGTGAGAACATGGTCTGCGATGATAAAGGGTTGACATTCATTGAGTTGAAGAAGGGGAAGCTTTTGGTGGATAAGGAGGCGGACGTGAGGCCCTTGGCAGCCCAGTTGTTGTACGTATAGCTGGGGTACATGTCGTCGTAGGGCTGCATGAGTCCGTTAAACTGTGGGCCGAAGCCGTTCTTGCACAGCTCGGCTTGTTGATTCCTCTCCCGCTTCCTCCACTTGGCCCGCCGGTTCTTGAACCAAACCTGGAGCAGAATGAATGGAGAGATTTAGAGATTAGATCGTGTCTTTCCTCATTTTTCTCGCAGATGTCGCGCTGGGCTGCGTTCACCATCTGAGTGCCATATCAGAATTTTTGCAATTTGTCCTCGTTTTTAATGGCACAAAAAGTCGAAAATAACTGAACAATATTGTGTTAACTGGCCCTTTTCTGTGCTGTCAATTCCTCTTTAATTCCGTCTCAGTGAGCTGAATACACACTGCAGTCTCATGCTCAGCGGGTGTGTATTCCTCTGCGTGCTTCCACACACACTCTGACCTTAATCACACAACGCCAGTGCGACAATCGCAAAATACCAGCTTTGCACCTCTTTCACACGAACACCACTGGTATCTGTCACCGTCACCGACTCCTGTTAACATCCTCATTAGTCTTTAATTACACCTAAAATGCCACTAATCAATAAAAATGTTTGTCCTTAACGAAACAACTTTATAACACCACTTTGATCTAAATCGTTTTTATTAAGAATAAATGTTTAAACATCTGTTATTAAGATTACATTTATTAAAACTGAGATTATCTAATTTAACCGGGTTTAAAAAACTTAATTTGATGAAATGGAGTCGTGCGTAAAGTTCTCCATTCGTGCGTAATTCTTTAAAATCAAATATTCATTGAATTCCTGAAATAATTATGAGATAAATGAATGTAATGGTTTAGTTTTCAGCCAGGGGGGCACTCACCCTGACTCTGGCCTCTGTGAGGTTGGTCCACACAGCTATCTCCTCCCTCGTGCTCATGTCCGGATAGCGATTCCGTTGGAAAGTGGCCTCCAGCTCCTGCAGCTGCTGGCTGGTGAAGTGAGTCCTCTGCCGCCGTTGCCTCTTCTTTTTGGACGGGTCGTCCGAGGAGTCGTCGTTTTTGTTTTGTATTTTTTCTTTTTCTGTAAAAAACAAACAAACATTCAAACAGCTGTTTACACCATAAAAACATAAATAAAATATTTTTTCCTTTTGTTTGCTGATAAGATTAATAACAATATTTGGATCTATTTCTTTTTATTTTACAGCCTTCTCTCATAGCTCAACTGAAAGTGACAGCTATAATCGCCTATTTGCACGTAACGCCCTCTCACACTTTGACAAATGGATTCTATTTATTACTTTTAAGGCAACGCGGCATTTGCAGGGAGCATCTGGTGGTTCTTACCCACAGACTCCGGGCTGGATGTGTCCGACACCGTGTGCACCTCTAGCCTGTGTTTAGAATCCACTGAGCGCTGCAGCGGCTGCAAACTGGAAGCCATCACAAGAGCCGTGTGGTGCGGAGAAACAAGTTTATTCCCTGTGAGATGGTGGTCTATGTTTAATGGCTCCCTCATAGAGCTCATGGGTGAAAAAAAAAGATCGCACAAGCTTTTCAGAACAGGAAGGGTAGGCGGAAAGTCCGACTCCGGAATGTGTTCAGCTCTCCAAAAGACGCGCAACAACACAGTTCCTGTTGTGGATACGATGGAGCCCTCTTTCTGTTTAAACTGGAGAACGCTTTAAAAAAGGCCATTGAGTTTTGTCATAGCATCAGTGGAAAACTGCGGCTACCTTGGCTGACTGTCAGAGTGACAAGGACAGGTAGGTGAGATTAGATCCAGAGGCTTACACACTCTACACCGCTCGCTGCTCATTTCAGCTGTTGCCTGCGCTCTGCCCTATCCGACTGCGCCTATCTCCACACTTTTACGTCACTGCTTTGCGCCCGCCCCCTTTTCTCCCTGACAGGCACATCCATGTGGATGAGACGGTGTGCCCAACCAACCGGAGCCCGCAGAAACGAGATATGCGCTGCTGGTGTATTTATGCCGGGGCTGGCGCTTATTTTCTCTCCTCCAAATAAAAGCATGTAAAGAGAGATGGGACGCACGGTGCACCCGCGGCGCTCCGAGCCGCCGTTGCGCAGCAGCACAAAACCAAATAAAAATGAAAATAACACAGTTTGGCCTCGTTTTATGAGACGGGTCCAGTGGCCCAGTAAAGAGATGAAGAGCCACAGAGCTCCATCACTACGGTTTACTCTGGGACTGAGTGGATAGAGCCAGCCACAAAGCGGATTGTAAAGAAAATCAGCGAATATCAAACACCTGCAACACAGAGATCCAATGGAAGGACAAACGTTAACTTCAAAGGGCCGCGCCGGCGCCATGCTTGCTCCAAACTATTTGTGCACGCTTGTCAACTGACGCTAACTGCCACACACGCGCACTATTTGAAAAGGAGCACACGTGCCGCCTGTGGAGCTCACACAGACGTCATGCATGAATGGAAATAAAAATTCAAGGCTACAACAATAAAGATAAATGAGTGACATCAAACTAACCAGAAAAATCCACAACAACGCGACCAAAATGACACAGAATGTGATTTTGAACATAAAACGAAGCAATCCTCTTAAACTTCTCTGAGTTAGGGTCCACATTCAGTAGATCTACCTCACCAGAGCCGCACAAGCCTCCAGCCAATCACACTCGCCCAGTTTGTTGATGACGGATCACTTTATCTGGGCGCTTGACAGACTTTCTCCCCACTTTGCAGATGGGTCTACAGTTATTAGAACTCCAGAGATGTTTTGTTTCATGCTGATGAGTCCACTTTGCTCATTAATTAAGTAATCCGGAAGTATTATTGTGAAAATCCAAAATTTCTAACGATTTTGATGCAATAAAGGAAATATATATTAATTAAAACTTTTTTTGAGAATGTGTGGGTGACAGGTGAAGTGATAGACCGCCACCATCCCCATCCCCATCCCCATCCCCATCACCACCATCGCCATCATCATCATCATCATCATCATCATCATCATCATCATCATCATCATGACAATCTTCACTTCCAGTGTCCACGTGGCCAGGCGGACGCCCTCTCAGCCAACGCGTTTGGATTTGGCGCGGTTAAGAACTCAGGAATAATCCCGTGAAAGCCCGTCATATACGTATAAATACCAGCAGACTACGGACTGTATGCAGCGCACACATGCACGCACGCGCATACACACACGCATCACATCACTCACTCATGCGGGGCAATTACATGATGAATCAATGAGTGGAGTTATTTGGAGGCTTTTGTGGGTATAAATAAAACTATCACACGTCATACTTGAAGAGTAGTAGTAGTAGTAGTAGTAGTAATAATAGTAATAATAATAATAATAATAATAATAATAATAATAATAATAATAATAATAATAATAATAATAATGGGTATTTCTACTACCAGTCTGCTGCTCATTTTCCTTTCCAGGGATATTGTTATACTAAACTTGAAGTGGATTATCGGTTTCCTCTTCATTTCTACCTTCTGAATGCTTTATCTCACTTCTGCGGATTACTGCGTGCAATAGGCCTCCGCCATAGAGGGCCATTAATTAGCAATTCAGTCAATATAGCGGGAGACGACAAGGGTTTTTACATAGGATTAAGGAGACATCAGATTCCTCCATTAGTGTATTCCTGCTCACGAATGGGCTTTCATTATACATTTAGTTTTCCCAGGAGTCAATCCAACAAGCGCTGCATATTTTATCCCAGAGCACAGATGCTGCCGCTGCTGTCTCTGCTGCTGCAGCTCCTGCTCACTATCAGTCATTTTACTTTATCTATTATTTCTTTATGATATGGGGAGATGGAGCTTGGCTCACGGACCCATAAATGTATGAGTCCAAATGTAAGTTATAAATTGTGTTGAATCCGTCCGTCATGTTACCGAATAATTATTTTCAATTTTCCCCCCTGTTGAAGTTCTCATTTTTTCCTTTCTGTTAGATTTGAATCCTGAGGAAATACTATTTTACTGAGTTAATCTGGATGACAAGCTTTGGTTTATTAGATCAAATGTATTCTTCAAAATATTAAAAAATGTAAAATTAAAAGGTAAAGTAAGTGTAAAAAGCTATTAATCTCATCAGCCATCCTGCCGTGCAGTCGGGGATGATCCTCCTGCCTGACACGAGCGCGCTGCAGGAGCAGCTTTGACCACCGGATGGCGCACTAAGACAGCTAAATAGCTGTTTTCCACGGCGGATTCAATTCAGTTTAGCTGAGAATCAACATTTATTCGCATTTTTCATCACAATGATAAGAACATAAAACAAAAATAAATTAAAAAATACAACTTTTAGTTATTAATTTTTGACCAAACTTAAAATCGTAATCAACTAAATAATTAAGACAGTAGTAGTTGAAATAAAACTACATTTTAAAGTATGAATTATCAACAGAAGTTGGATGTATTTCACAGTATAGTTGGGTATGCTTGGCAGTTCTTAAACAAAAACAATAACTGAATCATCAACGTATTTTTTTTATTAAAACACAACTGGTTTGTTATCGGTGTGTTGCTCTAGCAGCTTAAGTTCTAAACATTATTTATAAGTATGACTTTGCCAAAAGTCAGCACACATATTTCAAACGTTTTCCTTTTTTGCTAACAAATGAGGAAAGTGTAAAAAAAAAACATTACATAATTATTCAAATGTGTTTATGACGTTATGAAGTATTTAATTAAATATGCAAAATTGATATTGCAGCTATTTTCGTTTCTACTGACAAAAAACATATGAAACAACACGCAAATCAAAATTAGGAAAACATGCTGATATTCTAGAATTGCTTTTGTTTTTATTTCGTTCTGCTAAAAGGAAGATGCTTTTTAAATTAGCGGGTGAATGTGGTACTCACCTATTTGCGCACAGGTGTTGGCCAGTTTGCGGCAGTGGGATTCCATTATAGAGATGTGGAGTCACCGATTCTGAAAAAAAGAGAGTTATAAAGGAGAAGGAAATGAGCCAATCAGTTTAAGAACAACAACAACAACAACAACAGAGGAGATTATCAAACGAATTTTGTAGTTAAGAGTCAAAGGCATAATATATTTGGGGTTACATGAATTGTAACAATTATATTTTATATAAAAGCGCATAATTGATGAATAGAGATGAGTTATTTAATCATACGATAAAAACAGAAAACTGACTCTGATTATATTTCAGGTTTCATTTCTGAATCAGATAGAACTCAAAAGCGTGTCTCCTGCATAAGAGCAGTTGACTGCACTGGTATAAAATCATTTTGCGTTTGAAGTGCATGAGACAAAGTCTTCTCGTCTCCGTTTTGGTGTTGTTCTGCGTGCAGACAGCGCGTGTTTCTTCTGAGCCGCTCCTGTGTTTTGCTGCTGTCTGCAGCTCTAGAAGTGGAGAGATTCCCTGGTAAAATCACGGGATTAGAGTCTGATTGAGATGTCTGTCGGTGGGATATTACAAAATTCATTATCGCAACCCTCACACTACCTCCATATGAAGTTACACAGATGGGTTTTTTATTAGTCCAGGCTCACACTGTTTGCTTATGATAATTCAAGTCGGGAGGAAAATTTGCATGCAGTCATGCTGTTAAACCCTCCCCCCCCCCCCTTCACCGTGTTTTCTCCACATTTCCATTCAAAAGATGCAGATATTGGAGGTTAAATATTACAAGGTGTGTACCTGCGCAACATTCCTCCTCATCGCTGCCTCACCGTTCAGCAGCAAAATGAAATAGCTAGTGTGTGTGTGTGTGTGTGTGTGTGGGGGGGGGGGGGGGGGGGATCTGACTGTGGGATGGGAGGCGAACACACACGCCTGCGTGTTATCTAATCAGAGAGGTTTAATGAGAGGTCCTCAATATTTCAGCCAACGGCCTCTGAACACGCGCGGGTTTCATTTAGACAGAGTGGAAATGATAAATATATGTGGGCAATTATAATGAAAATTTCATTTTAGGAAATAGAAATAAAATAGAAATAATTTGGTAAAATTGGGTGAAAATAAATCAGTAATTAATCATTTATTAATAGTTAATTAACATACGATAATTAATATATGTATACAGATTAATTATGTTGACTAAAACGCATTATTATCCTAATAATAATAATAATAATAATAATAATAATAATAATAATAATAATAATTATTATTATTATTATTATTATTATTATTATTACTGGTTTTGAAAATATATTTTTCTCTGTATGAAATGGGCCAAATCATCAGTTTAAAGCTTCCAAATTGCTTATTTTATTCTCTTCTCATTTATTATCCCAATTTAGAAGACTTTTTCCTTTTCAGCATCAACATGATAACGAATGACTGTCATGGCGCGAGGCCCGGTGCAGACAGGAAGCTGGCACGCTGCATGGTCTTAAGAGCCGGTACCGGGAGGTGATCCCCCTTACCTCAACCATAAGAAAAACTGATGATCATTAATAAACATTATGAATATAAATATGCATTACTTAAAATATTAGCCACACATAAAGATATTATCTGGTAATTAAGATGGAAACCGTTTGTGCGTCTGAATTGGTCTTAACGCTTTTTATTGCGCTGAGCACCACCTGGATAGCCTACATAGCGGTTTCCCAACACTCCATCACAACTCTAACAATAGCTCATGATGATCGGCCGACCTGTGAGCCGAACCCTCCGCGCACATCTCTCCACGCTCCTTCGTGTGACTGCAGCGGCTTTGAAAGCACGCATCAGAAAAAAGCGCACGGCGCGCAAAAACACACGAGCTGGAACAAATTCTCTCACTCACATGAACTCACATCTCTTTTTCCTTTTAAGTGTTTGTCCTCCACTTACCAGTTGTCGGACACCGGCGGGAATCGATTTGCCCAGTCTTATTATGATTTGTTGGAAACAGGAAATACACTCCACAGTCCGAACTCAAAGCAGCAGTTGTGTTCACGCCTCGGTGTCCGGGAGTGCTGAAGTTTCTGTCCGTCGCATGAATGTGCTCCCACTCCGAGTATCCAAACAGAAAAAAGGAAATCAAAGGGAGCGAGGCGCACGCGCTGCCTTCAGGTTTGTTTCATCAACGCGCATAATAAGTTCGAAATGAGCAGGAGCGAAGGAGGCGCGTTCACCCGTCTCGACTCTTCCTCTTCTGTCTTCCACAACTTTTTCCTCCCTTCAAAGACGCTCCAAGAGTGGCGCAATTTTTCCAGCTTTTGAGCTCAGAGAGGGACGCCGCGTGTGTTTGTGCGTGTGTTTGCGCGCGTGCGCTCAGAAAGGGGTGTGTATGTTTGCGTCTGTAGGGCACCTCAGAGCCTCTCAGTTTTCACCAATAACAAATCCTAAGGCATCTTTTAAAAATACAAAAGTTAAAAGAGAAATGCAGGCATGCACATTTTTGGCTTTTTAACAATACATGTCAACAAAAAAAACTTTATTTGCAATCACGAGCGCTAAATAAACAGCTGAATCTGCGCACATGTCAATAAGCATTCTCATTTACCATAATCATGAAATTAAAACATTTTGCTGATTAGAATGAAGACACAATTTTTAAATTAAAGTATTAGTAAAACAATATTAATTCTAGAAGGGGGACACGAATGCCTTTTAAAGTGACGCAGTGGCCTCCTTTAGGGCCAGACAGGGTGCTATCGTGTTGCGGATTTATGTGCGGAAGAAGTGAACAGCTGCCTCGGATGCAAATGTTCTTTATAGATTCGTTTCGTTTGATACAGACCGCTTGTTCCATTCGCATCTTAAGTGATGCGAACAGACCGTACGTATAGGCGCGCCATGCAACCCCACCCCCACGCGCTCCTAATCCGGTTTTTACATTTTTAGTCATACTCCCATTAAGGCAGTAATTAATGCGCGCATCCACATGGGAATTTCCATGGAAAGAGAGGGGGACACTGAGGCAAAACACGCGCGTCATTCGTCCTCTTTCATCGCTTAACGTGTGGAATATGATTGGTGTTAATAAATATAATTTTTGCCGACTGATTACAAAAAATGATACCTTTTGTACTTGATCCAAAATATATTCTATATCATCTATTAAGAAAGGTTGAAAATAAGTACTGTTTCCAAATCTAAACGCAAACCTATGTTGGTGGATCGAAAAATTAAATTAAATGTGCACCAAAACAGGTGCGAATAATTCCACCAGTATGCGTTATGATGATTCCTGCGTGCAAAGGCCCACTCTTAACTCGTGCACGCGCCGCACAAACTATAAGAAGAGCCGTGCAGAAATCATCAGCCTTGCATCACAGGGAGCTTCACATCTCGTCCCGCCTGCAAAGAAACCAAAAAAAAAAAAAAAAAAAAAAAAAAAAAAGAGGCGCGCAGCGTCTGGAGAGGTTTGACGGCTCGGCTGTATACTTCTCTTACCTTCTTATACAAAGAAGAAGAAGAAGGAGAAGGAGGAGAAGAAAAAGAGTCAGCCAAGAGCCTTCTCTTTCTCACGCAGAAAGATGCAGAGGAATGCCTGAAGTTCAGACAAGGCTGGCTGGTATGAAATCTTTCGCCTCGGGGGCAAACCGGCGGCTTCTTTTCATTTCAAGCGCTTATCGATTTGCCGTTGTCATCTTTGGCGACGCAGAAGGACACTTGAAAGAATTTCTGATGGGGCTGTGATGTGAGAAGCAGGGTGACCTGCTCCTGCTGGTGCTCTCTCCTGATTCTTAACGAGCACATCAGCCCGGCTCGTGTCAGTTTAGTTGGACACTTCAACTTTTCCTCCTCCTGCGTTTACTGGAGAGGATTTTAAAGCATCGCTCTCCAGCCTTTTCTGTACATCAGGGCAGCATCCAAGCCTCTGCTTTCAGGAGCAAAGATGACAAACTTGATTTGAAGGACAAGCGGAACCTGAAGATTTTTGGCCTCTATAATTGGACTCATGCATGCTCATTATTCAGGCAGTTAATAATATAAATGATCACAATCAACACTTTGCACAATCTTTGTAAATGGTGGTCTGTTTCATTATTGCTACTTCAACACTGAGTGTCTATAGATATTTTTCAAGAAAAATGCACAAAACATGCACATAAGATTTATTATAGTAACACCACGCACTATAAAACATAAAAGGCTTTATATTGTTGAAGTTTCACAGTTACATCTCTCTGTGAGTGTTGCACCTCCATATTTGCACATTCTTAAATTAAAATCTGAATTATCATAAAGGTAAATATCAGTACACACCACGGAAAATGTCCTACTTTACTGAGCATTTTTCTCACATTGAACACCATTTTCCCACAACAGTGACCGATCTTTGCTTCGTGAAGCTTTAGACGTGCAGACAGAAGTTGGTTTTTCCTGTGAAAACAGCCTCCGCTTCTTCCTTTTCCTCTGCTGATTTAGCCTCAAACCACACGCGACTGCTGCTCACTGCTTTGCTGGCCAACACTCTGTGGACCACGCAATAAAAGTTTTAGTCAAATATGATGTTACCAAAGCCACACGTCTTTGAATTCATCCGTTTAGGCACCGCTAAGACATTGGAGGTGAATAATCAGCAGAAATGTGTCAAGAGGTTGATTATGAATAAGTAAACCAAGGAGAAAGGGCAAAAAAAAGCTTAAAAAGAGAGGAAACTTAATTCTTCCTGTAAGACAGAAACATCCTGCGTGTATTTTCGTTTTGTCAAGCATCACTCCAAGAACGTCATTAGTGAAAAATCTGCCTGTAAATTAATCAAATTAAAAGGGTGGATCTTTGATGGCTCTTGAGCTTGTTGAGCGGCTTTGTGCCTGATCCTTCCTATTCCAGCTCTGTCACAGTACCAAAGGGAGATGAGCTGCACCAGCGCTGAGCACTCCAACTCAGCAACATGGCTTGTGGTTTCCAGCGTAATAAGCGAGGCCTGTAAAAGACTTACATGCTAACCTCACTCCTCCTGACATGCCCAGCTAACACGGGGTGTATTTTAAAAGCACTTAGCTCTTCGTCTTTGTCTTCTTCTGTAATTATCCCAAACTCAGCTCCCTAAGAAAACACATAGCTGATGTCATTGTGGTTTTTAGTCCTTCTAATATTAATCCCAAGAATAAAAATAAGAAAAAAAGATAATCAAAAATCTGCTGAAATATGAGCACATCACCTTCATTGCTGGACCATGACCACGGGCATGACGTGGCTTTGGCTGAGCATGATTAGAAGTGTCCCAGAGACCAGGACGACATTCATTAAGCTGACACTTTCAGACCGACAGCACAACAGTGGTGTGTGCCACGGGGTTGATCTCAGGGAAAGTAGTAGTGGATGCATGCATAAACACATGTGGCCTCAGCCTTAATCACAGGTGCGAGCGGACCAATAAATTGCTCGAGCAGGTCTCTGATCAATTACATGAAAAATCAATAGGAAGCTGCCACTAACCCGCCTAAGGGGAAATCGGCCAAGAATGAAATTGGTGTGATAAAATGACCATGATGCCTCCCACCCCGTCGATAACATGTAAAGCAGCTTGGCTACATGCTAATGCTCCTGTCAGCAGACCCGAGGAGGACCCAGAGGTCACAACTAGACTCAGATCAGTTTCTAATTGGTCTTCTTTAGCAGAGAAGTACATGAAGCCAAGGAAAGACCCAGAGAGCGAATGCATGTTGATTTTAGATAGTGGAGAGCGAGGGTGGATAATACGTGGAAAACAAACTTGTGTGCTCAAAAATATAAAGAAAAGTTTTATGAGTTGATTTTTTCTAACAATAAAATGCTAAAGAGGAGCAGGCAGATCGACCAGAATCAACAGAATTAGGAATATTTTTAGAAAGATGTGTTTGTGTTCCTTGTGAGCATGAAACTTTAAATGAGTTCAAATGAAATTTAGAATGAAAAAGTTAGGTCTTTGTGTCTAAACAAACCTCATGTTTAAAAGATCTTAGCCAACAATAAAATAGAGTAAAACTTTTATTTTTTCAGATGTCAAAACTGGATCTTAAAGGCTGAAGGCTAAATTATGTATAAAAATCCGTGCTGGCTAGTAGAGGTTGTGGAGGATTAAACCACTGCCCCTTGACATCCCAACCCAATCAGCCGTTGGACAGACCTTTACCTGTAAGCCTGCTGTGAGTCAGGGTTTTCTTTCTCGGGTCATTTGTTCCTGCCGGGAATTAGAGTAAATATCAGATGTTTGTGAAAGTCACAAAAATATGTATCTTATTAAGAACTTTGTGAAATGAAAGACAATTATTTGAAGAATAAAACAAGATGCAATGTAAACAAAGACAGCTGTAACATTTACCTTTTCCTTATAAGCTTTAGATTTTTTTCCGCCCAGATCAAACCAGGAAGTCTTAGATTTCCCATTGAAGCAGTCGGGTGTTTACATGCCACCAAAGCAACTAAAGGAATGATAATTCAGTAATGTTGTTGGATTATCAAAGTAATTAGAGCTGGGATGCTTTTAAAGCAACATCATTACCTAAACCAAACCAGAACCTGGCCACGTGTTTTCAACATGCTACCATATTGTTTAATTTGGTAAATATAACTTATAAATAAATGAAAACAGTCAAAGAAAACACCCTTTTGCTGTATGTTGTGCTTTTAGGAGAGACATTGCTTGTTAAGTTAGCAGCAGAAGACTTATAAAAGATAAGTGGGTGCTGTTTTCATTCTAAAAACCTGGATCTTTAATCTGAAATGGATCAGTAGCTGGGTGTTATTCATTCTGAGTGGTCCAGATTTCCATGTTGCTCAACTTGCAACATTGCAATAAAGATGATTTTATTACTGTAGTTTTTAAAGCTTGTGATCATCCAGCTGGACCCTTACAAAGTCTTCATCATTAAAACACAGACAGGCAGAACTGAGAAAAGGAGACTCAGGAGTGAACTGCTGTAGAAGAAAAGCAGGTGTGATTGAAACAAAACAAAATCATTCTAGGACGAGACGGAAGAAAAAAGGGAACTTGAGGGAGGGTGGTTGTACATGTGGCTAATCTGTAATCAGGATGCTAGTCCCATGTCACGTGTCGTGATTAGTTCCAGTCTTTCACGCTCTTCTGTCCTTTTCACGGAGCTACTACGCTTGGCTGCACCGCTCACAGTTTTCCACTACAAGATGACCAACCTCTGTGCCACAAGTACACACCAGGTGACCTTAAAAACCTGTCCGTTAACGTTGCCCATCTCAGCGTCCCACTCAGACATCATAGACAGAAACTGTTTCAGATTTTAGAATGATGTTATCTCTGGGTGACAGTGGAGGGTGTTTCCACAAAGACCTGCGCTGCTCTTTGGCCTTTTCCTGAACATTTGCACTTCAGATCCACTCCTCGGGTAAAGGACCGGTAACAGTGATGGAGACTGGTGCAGTTGCAGTATTACTGTCGGTGTGTGTTTGTGTGCAGAGCTTTCTGTAAGTGTTGAGGAGAAGAAGGGGGGGGGGGGGGTGAACGAGGAAGGTGGGGGTGTCTAATCCAGTCCCAGTGTGAAACTGTTGACATTTGTTCTTTTTTCCCTTCATTATGTGACTGGGGCTGTTTTGCGCTGGATTAGCTACAAATCTCCCATGCAGCACATTCAGCATGCCACTAGTAGTTTAACTTCATTAATAATGGATGAAGAGATTGTAATCCAGGAGTAAGGGAGCATGCAGGAATATCGTAGACAGGAAGAGCATGCAGAGACAGAGGGCAACCCTCCTTAGAAAGTCATTAGGACTGGTCGTTGTTTTGTTTTTGTCCAAAACCTGCAAAGGTGCAGTTGTTTGGGTAAGAATGGGGGGGATTTCAGAAGTCTCTGTGGTGCAGGTGCTAATATCTTTCATTGATTATGTTTACTCAAGCTTCTCATTGCAGACTATTATGGAAGTCCAGGGGACACACCCCGACCTCACATCAGGATAAGGGGGATTATAGGTATA